CTTGAAGAAAATTTTTTTTCTCCTGTATAAATCACATAGCAAGGAATTGTATATATAGATTAATCATCCCATCCACTCATTTATTTTTCAACTTCCCTTCTTCCTCCCCCTCAAAATTTTTTCAGCACTAGTGATCTTTTGCTAGTTCTTACTTTAGAGAAAGCAACATGCCCGAGGATGACCAGTATAGTCATATTGTTAACTTTATAAGTTTATAATTATACTTTTAACATGTACTAAATCTACATTTAAAAACTATATCCAATAAAGTAAAGGCTGAACTGGCGGTTAAAAAAAAAATAAATAAAAATAAAGTAATCTATTCAACTAGATGATGAGTAATAATAAAAAAAAAACCCGAATAATTCATTGATAAATACATAAATACATTCCTGACAATAATTTAATAAAAATTTTTATAAATAAATTTAAATAACAATTTAGTTATAAATAATTTTGTCAATACTGAACCGTCTTTATGCCATTCGTTTCCTTCTCTCGAGAAATTAGTATTCTATTGTTAATACTAAGTTACGTGAATTTTTAGCTTCACACTTACAAATAATATGGAATTGCTCTAACCAACCTTCTAATTATAGACACATCGAACTTTCGCTAAAACCAAATTATCACGCTTAAAGCAAGAAAAAAGGTTCATGTCAAAAACATAATTCGACACAAATGCAACAGCAAACCAAAATTGGATATTAATAAACAATAAATACTCGAGACGTCATGGGATGGAAAAGACTACAACAGATATTGAACCAATGGCTTATGCACTCCACATTATCAAGCCACAGTCTAAGGTGATGTGATACGCGCGCTATCTCTTCGGAATTTTTGTAAGAGTTTAAGTTGTGAATGTTCGCGTTAGACTCCTAATTATAATCGGATTAAAAACCCGAGGTTCAATCATCAACAACTGACCTCGTAAACGTGGTTGTAATATAAAAGAGTTTGGTGGTGTTTTGAGTTACAAATCATAAAATTCGACTATTCGAAACGTACGACCAACCTTTAATTGCACTACCGAACCAATTTTTAATCAAGGAGGCGAAGCTAAAACCTAAGAGGCTTTTGTCTACGCCCCAAAGTTTTTTTTTTTTGAACACTTGAAGATGATACCTGAAATGAGGAAACCTTGAATAATTCCAAAAAGATCGGACTACACAGCCACCAACTGAACGACTTTACCAATTCTTCAATAATTTCGTGGACTTCTGCTTCCCTTAAAGTTACATTATAGTTTATATGGGTTCGCTCCTTTCTTTTTGTAGAGCATTCTCCCATGATACATGATTCTATAAGAGAAAGATGATTTCCATCTTTGTCCTCCTTCTCACCAGATTTCAAGTTTTCGAACTAGTCCTTTTATTTCTAGTTATAAATATCTCGCTGCATTCGACAGGTGCAGATTCTACAACACAATTGGCAACAACCACATCCTCCACCTCCGCATCCGCCCTATACGATGTATCGGCGCCTACACAAAACTCGGACATAACTCAAAGTCAAATAATACAAGCTGCTATAGGTGTTTCTGTTACGGTTCTAATTATCGGTATATGTGTATTATATTGTTACTTGTATGGAAGACGAATGGGAAGGGTTCACACGGCTCTTTCACCCACACCCAGAAACGTTTATAGCGAATCTGTAAAGAGATTAGAGGAATCAAGTTCGGAAACTAGAAGAAGATTTTACGAAGGAGAAGTTAATAGACCCTCTTCTTTTGATTCAACCCAATTGGCTGGTCGCCCATCATTTGAGAACCCTACCGGTGCTGGTAGTGGTATAAGTAATGTTGGTAGTGGTGGTGCCGATGAAACCATTACTACAGTTGGTGGTCAAAACGTTAGGATTGGGAATTCCTCTTTGGCGTGCGTAAACATCGCGAGTGAATACATTAGTGGCGTAACGCCTTCCCTTTCATCCATCGAGTTACAAGCTAACCCAATAGAAGTAAACTAATAAATAACCAATAGACCTTTTATTTATGTATTCATAAATATAATAAGTGAGAGATTATGCTGGCGTGCGTTTGTCAACTTTCGATGTGTAAAAGTTATATTCGCGTTTTTGTGAGTGAAGTGATTAATTTGTTTTCCTAAAAGATTTTTAGAATGTCTTAAATATCACGTGAATTTATAATGAGTATCTTGAATATCTGTTGTAAATATAATGTTCATTTTTGTCATTTTTGCATACTAAAATTTCAATGGCTTCATCCATTTCCTCTCAAATTCTTTCCCTGATTTTGCAGAGCTATGCTAAACGCCTATCTTGAAACCAAAATCACTTCAAGGAATCAAAGTCGGTTTCCATTTCTTTTTTTCATTAAATTAAGATAAGGATATATTTCCGAACTAAATACACCGCCAGAGAAACGCCTGAGATTGGGATCTTTCCGGCGCAATGAATTCATTCGGCGATGGCTTTCACGGATTTTCTCGTCCATCTGGTGGCACCCAGAATAATCATATTCAACATTAAAAGGTCCAGTATGTGTATGTGCTGCGAGCATGCCACGAGAAGCGAGAGATATGCCCGTTGATGCTAGTTGTGCCCTTATATTATAATTGTTATGGTGGACGAACAAATCGCATACAGAAAGAAGTTCTGCAGCGTAATTAACCTCGAAAATATCATCAAAATTTCTAGGTAAATTTTTATATAGCACAGACAAGAAATCGTCGTAAGTCATTGCCATGTCATCGACTACTTCATCTGGATTATATTTAAGGGGGGGTCGCTCCTTGAGATCCCGCGGACAGATGGTTGCACCTTTTTCAACATAATACTTCTGTTTCTTTCCAGTGTCTTCGTTTCTAGGATTCATTAAAATTCTGTTGATTGCGGTGAATCTGTCGATCCTCGAAAATCCGTCACATTTATTCAATATGATTCGTGCCT